GGTCATGGATGAACTTTGACATTGGCTTGATGGAGTACCTAAACACTACAAGAGTTAAATGATATTACAGTGTTTTGTTGTTATTGATTTTTAATGTTAAAACAGGTTGTGTGTGCGTGTAAAGGTCAAAAGGCTAAAAACTTATAATAGTCAAAGTTTAAAATCTTACAAATTATGTTTAAAGGTTATGTTTTAAAAATATTGTTTAAAGGTTAAAACATGTCTAAAGGGTAAAACACGTAGTTATGGTAGATATCTAATGCCATGTGGTTACTAGGCTGTTGCTAGGTAGTTGCCATGGTATTCATGGTGGTTGCTAAGGTGTTGCTAGGTAGTTTCTATGGTAACCCAGTTGGTTGCTGACGTGATACGGTTGCTCTGATATTCTAGGTGGTTGCTAGGTGGTTGCTATGCTATCCTAGCTTGTTGCTAGAGTGTTGCTGGGTGGTTGCTGTGGTAACCCAGTTGGTTTCTAGGGTGTTGCTAGGTGGTTGCTGTGGTAACCAGGTTGGTTGTTAGGGTGTTGCTACGTGGTTGCTCTCATATTCCAGCTGTTGCTAGGGTGTTGCTGGGTGGTTGCTACGCTATCCTGGCTGGTTGCTAGGGTGTTGCTATGGGTGGTTGCTGTGATATTCCAGGTATACCAAGTTTGACGTGTGTAGTACCTGTGGTTTGGCCCTCTGAGTAAAAGTAAAAGCACCTGTTTGTTTTAATTATGGAAAAAACGCAAATTATGCAAGGATGATGAGAAAAAGTTGTCTAAAAAGCTGCGTCAGCGTGTGCGCTGCGATTTTACCAAGACGAGAAAATGGGTTTTATCTTGCAGATCTGTGCATACATCCTGAGATGCTAAATGACTGTGTCCCTAGTTAGAGTGAATAAAATCATTTTAATAAAGGACATCACTCAATAAAATATAAAATCCCAAAATAGAATAAAATTGTGTTTTATATGATAATTTGGAAAAAATATGAAATATTCAACATCAGAATGCGTGTGGGATTCATGTTGGGGTTTGAGGATGAGCCTAAAGCGTAGACGAGACACATTTTGATTCGGTAGCTCTCACGCGCACACACACACACACACACACACACACACACACACACACACACACACACACACACACACACACACACACACACACACACACACACACACACACACACAAGGCGAGGATATATCACAACTCTTACTTTGGAGATTTTAATGTTATCTGTATCTCCTTTTGTGATGTTTTTGGAATTGCTGAAGTCGTAACCCTGAGCTTTTAGTTTTTTTGTCTTGTATGTTTTGGTGAATTTTCAGCACATAGGATTTTATATATATATGTAACATATATACTGTAACTTCTGTTGTACGTGTGTAGCTACCTGTATGTTCTAATACTTTTCTACACCGAATCCTAAATCTGACTCCAAACCGAGTTTAACGTCAGTTATCCTTTTATTTTTGGCATGAAGCAGTTGTAGGTTTGTGTCATGGTGAATTATGTATAGGGCTGTGTGTGTGTGTGTGTGTGTGTGTGTGTGTGTGTGTGTGTGTGTGTGTGTGTGTGTGTGTGTTCTTCAGAACATGTTTTAAGATGAAGGGGAATGAGCAGTGTGTGTTCACAGCGAGCAGGTTGCTAAAATAATTTGCTCCCGGGAGGGTGAGATGTTGTGGTAAAGTAAGAATGTGTGTGTGTGTGTGTGTGTGTGTGTGTGTGTGTGTGTTTTATTCTATTTTGGGATTTTATATTTTATTGAGTGATGTCCTTTATTAAAATGATTTTATTCACTCTAACTAGGGACACAGTCATTTAGCATCTCAGGATGTATGCACAAATTCTTTCATCTGCAAGATAAAACCCATTTTCTAGTCTTGGTAAAATCCCAGCACACACACTGACGCAGCTTTTTAGACAGAAATGGAACTTTTTTCAGCAACTTTTTCCTCTCATAATTTGCTTTTTTTGCATATCGCAAGCTATAGATCATAATGAAAGTCACAGAGAGTGGAAAAAAACCCCACAGCAGCACAAGATTATATTTTTATGTGTGTCTATTTGCATGTATATACTGTATCTTTAGGGAAGTTAAAAGTCTATACTCCTGTTATTTTCTGAATATACTACACTATACAGTATGTAGGGTGTAGAAACCATTCTTGTACACCATATGTAGTGTAACTTGACATGTAGTTCTGCTCAAAATTATTGGCACCTGTGCATTTTCAGGTATTTGAGGTATAATATTTTCAGCGTTTCTCTTACCACTACGTCCTGGAAGGTTCTTGACAGTTCCATGAGCTTTAACCTTCTAAAGAACATTGTGAACTGTGGAAACAGGGATGCCTAGGTGTCTGGAGATAAGCCGTGTACCCTTCTGAAGTTTTATTTTTGGTGATGATCATTTTTCTGACTGCTGTCTCACTCTTCATCACTGTCTGAAAGGAACAGGGAGTGGAGAGTGACCTTTTAAAGCAGTAAAGTTGTCATATTGGTCAGATCATCACAGGTGAGTATAATTTCATAGCCATTATTTCATGCCTCATATGGAGCACTAAAGTCCAGATGAGACCCTATGAGGGCGAAATGTTTGGGTGCTGGAGGCCACTATGTAGGGTGTACGAGGAATTATCATCATTAATGAGCCTTATAAACAGAGTATGGAGTGGTTTGGGACTCTCAGTGTGTGTCCTGTTCTCAGGTAGCTTCAGTAGAAGTGTATAATTTGATGATATAACATTATTAATTGGTGTGTGTGTGTGTGTGTGTGTGTGTGTGTGTGTGTGTGTGTGTGTGTGTAAGTGTTAAAAATAAAGGACTGACATTTGCGCTGTAGAATAAACATGAATTCATTAACATTTAAGCTGGAGAGCCGAGTCCATCGTGCCTGTGTCCTATGCCTAGGGCACTTTCTCTATTTTAAGTTCTAGTGACATTTCTGTGTGTCCTATTAGACATGTATAAATTTATGTATAAATCCTGAATTTCCCTTCGGGGATTAATAAAGCTTATCTTATCTTATCTTATCTTATCTTATCTTATCTTATCTTATGTGTAGGAGTCACTGTAGGCATTATTTCATACCGTGCATCGTGTACTTTCATATATGATGAGTAAGAAGCTGGATTCCAGATAGCTTGTTGTGCACTACATAGGGTGATAAAACCATCATTATATATCCTTCACAGTTTACTTACATATAGGGAGATAAAATAAAGAGATCTGATTCTCAGATGGCTTCCTATAGGGCATGAAGTGCACTATATTATGCGTAGACGACATTATTTTGTAGCCTATGTAGTGCACTTAAGTTATGGTCCTAAATGACTCCCAAATGTACATATACTGTACTTTCTAGGACATAGGATGCATTGTGTAGTGCACTACAGGAAGTGGGAAACTGAGTCACAAATAGTGTCCTATTGGACATCTAGTGCATTATGTAGGGTGTAAAGCCACAATTTTACATCCTAAGTGCTACATCTATGATCGGGAGCCAACTCGTTATTGGATATGTTACTAGTACACTAAGTAGTACACTTACATAGAGATCAATGGGGTGAATCCCCATTAGATGTGTTTCTAGTGTAGTACACTTATATAGTGTGTGAAGAGCCAAGTCCCTATTGGACGTCTGTCTAGTACAATTAAGTAGTACATTTATACCATTTATAGTCCACTTTTATATAGGTAGCTAATTCCCAAATTGGATATGGAGTGCACTATGTAGGGTGCAGAAGCTGCCATTTCATTACCCTATGTAGTGAAAATGTATAGAGTATAAGGAGCAGGATTTTGAATGGCTCCCTACGTAACAAATATCTAGTGCACTATGTAGTGTGCAGAAGGAGCATTTTGCTTCATTTGGGGAGGAAGAAAGTTCTTTGTGTATGAAATATGACTTACTGCAGTTTAATCCATAAATCTGAATCTCCAAAAGTTCTTCTTTAACAAAGACCAAATGCACATCACTGCAGAGTGGTAATTATGTTAATGAAGACACACAGCACATGGCCCATTTTGGCTTTATTTCATTTATCATTGTAAATGATCATCGAGTTAGGCGCATTAGCAAGACATTAATCATCACATTACGCCTGAAACAAAGCCCAGAGAAATGACCTGCTGTACTTTCACCGGCGTTTCATTTTCATTATTACAGTGAACTTCTGCTCTGGGAAAAGTTTTCACATTCGCTCTGGACCTGATTAATTCTGTTTAATTCCAGCTCTGGGATTTTCTGTGATGTGATCACTAACACACTGCTGTTTCTACAGATGAGTAAAGGCACAGCCGTGATTCAGCCGTTGAAATCCCTCTAAATTTCCTCCGCAAAATGGACAAGCCTGAATAATTTTCTATGCTACTGTATATATATCAAGCGTCCACTTTCAGAAGGTTGTAGCATCAAGCACACACCTGTAGTACTCTAAACGCTGATTAAGGTCACTATATCAGCTACAGTCTTTGTAAGGAGCTCGTGTCCAAGCTAATTACATGGTACACACAGTATGAACTCACTACTCAGTAACACAGCTACTTGTGAGACAACAACCTGACCAACCAGAAGTGAGCATCACCTAGAGGTTGAGAACAAAAACACTGAACCACAACACCTGTTACGCAGGTGGCTCAGTGGTTTAAACATGTGTGTATGTTGTGGTATCGGCCTGCAGTTCAAGCCCACACAGGTAAGGGGTTGCTGTTGGTTACTCTTTTTCTAACGTCCGAGAAAGGAGGTTGACGGCTCAGTGTGTAACGAGTGTGTTTGTGCCTCATGGTGTGGCCTGTGGTTTGAACCTGGACTCGGACACACACCATAATGTAAAGTTCCTCTTTCGGCTGCTCCTGTTAGGGGTCGCCACTGTGGATCATTTGTATAGTGCGCATTTGATTTGGCACAGATTTTACACCTGATGCCCTTCCTGACGCAACCCTCCCCAATTTTATCCAGGCTTGGGACCAGCACTGAGAGCACACTGTTGCACACAACCCCAGTGGCTGAGGTCGGTTCCCTGGGCAGGAATCGAACCCGTGCCCCAGCGGTGAGTGTGATGTAGCCTAACCACTAATCCTCCAAGGACCCACATGCCGTAACCTAAAGTCAAAAACAAAAATGTCCAAAAAGAGCATCTCTTACCACCAGTGGCTAAGTGGGTTAAGCGGGTATGATAGGCAAGTGAGAGAGTGTGTCTATAGTCAGACATGATTCAAAAAGGAATCATCTCGCTCTTACATGAGGTTGGTCTTGAACCACAGCCCTCACAGAGACACACACTCTAACCCACACTCCAACCAGGCTAATGGGTTTATGAGATGTTTATCAGGTTCTTATCTTTTACATTTCTCACACAGCTCGATTAGGGTTAGATGTTTGGTTTAACTCTGTGGAAGAATTTTTGATTTGGGCCTGAACCACACATCACACCTGCCTCATACACACACACACACACACACACACACACACACACACACACACACACACACACACACACACACACACACACACAGATGTACACACCTCGTTCCCACTGTGCCACCGGTTTCAGGCAGTTTCATGTGTATGAAGAAAAAACCAGCTGTAGCTCAACGGTAAAAACTCATCTCTGATCTTTCTGTTTTGATTTGTAAATATCACTGTGACCATGCAGGAACCATGCAGGAACTCAGAAATGCACAGTAAGTTTGAGAGTCTGTGTGAAATAACGCTCTCACATTACGTCCCCTAGCCACTGCTGATTAAAGATGTGGAATAAAACTGCAGTTCAGTGTAGTTGTTTGTCTGTCTGAAAACTGATGATGATGATGATGATGATGATGATGATGATGATGATCGCCTGTCCCTGAACAAACCCAGAATCAATCCTGAGTTAGTATTTGTGATGTGTGAAAAGTTTATGCTGCTGAAAAAAGAAAAAACATTAAACATATTGTTTCAGTCTCCAATGAGAATCATCCTAACCATGTCTATTAAATGCAAATACAGAATAAAGTTTTAAAGCCCTGATTCAGTTACAGATCCAGAAGATGTTCTGTAATTAGCTGAATTGTTGTATTTTAATGGAATATTTGCAATTTGCAATTCAACTTGATTTTATTTGTATAGCACTTTCAACAATGGACATTGTAACAAAGCAGCATTACAGAAATATATACATTAAATTTATAACTTTATCCCTAATGAGCAAGCTTATGAGCAACTTAGGAATATAAGATAATATAAGATGATGATATCTTTATAGATAGGGATAGAACTGCAATATATCAGTTTCATTACAGTTGCTAATATTCCAAACATACAGAATACTAATTAGACTCCATTAAAAACCATCAAGAACCAACAGAAGTCTATAACGCGTCCTATTATTTCTTCCCGGCAGAGTCTTATGGCAAACAAACCTGTTCAGATGAAGGACCCCATCACAGTCAGTAGATACTGATTCAGTCTCTAGATGAGTGAATCAGTATGCAGTGAGCCATTTGTTTTGTTCAGTTGCTGCTGCACTCATCAGACCCAAAAAGAACTGACTCCAGCATCAGCAAATTATCAAATAACCCTGATTTATGATTCTCAAACATCATAATTACTTAGGCTTATGTTAAGTTAGGTTTTAAAATGAACCTGAGTGTAGATAATCCAATAATTCCAGTGAATCTTTCAGCCATGACTGAAATTCCTCTGTCTTGTGTAGCTGATCAGACTTCAGTGAATCACTTTTGAACAGGTTATTAGCTGAGAAAAGGTTATTAGCTGTTTTATACTCAAGCTGTTTGTTGTCGGCTTTAAATGGAGGCTGTGGTTACATTTGGCCAAACCGTGCAACTAAATAAATCAGCGAATCAATCTGAACGAATCATTTAAATTGAGTCACTGAAATGACTCAAAAATATATAGATAGTTAGCTAATAGCTGCTAATGGTAATTTATTGACCAGTCCTCCAGCTTGGTTTTGTGCTAACACAGGCTTGAAGTGGCTCAATATTAGACTTTTTGAGTCATTTCAGTGACTCCATTTAAGTGATTCGTTCAGACTGATTCACTGAATGCTAGCTAGCAACAGATGGCTCAGCAAGACTCGGTCAAGAAGTGAATTAATCAGACTAAAAAAAAAACAAAACAAACAACAACAACAAAAAAACAACCCTAAATCAGGAAAATAAATGAATAAAAACATGAATAAAACAGAACATTCATAGCAAAAAGCTAGCGTAAAATGTCCACTACGTTCAAATGTTAGATGAAACTATCCCTGCTGAAAAAAAACAATAGAAACCATCACAGAAATTCTAATGGTTTCCACTACAAATACCATTACAAACCATCAGCTAACCGTTCAAACCATTACTGGTTCTTCATGGTATCCACTAGACATAACATGCCACCAACAGAAGGTAAGGAATTACCAGTAGAGACCCACAGGGACCATTAGACTTTCCATTAAAACCAATACAATTCCCATTAAAACCATTACAAATTCCATGTACTTCTATTTTATTTCCAGCAGGGATGATGGCAATCAGCATACAGCAGTCATTTATAATGCTATTAAACGCTATTATAATTGCATTTAATAATGCAATAATTAAAGATAATCATGAGTAATGGAATTTGATATATATTTTTATTAAGTTGTAAGCATGATTAGCACTGGGTTTTCGGAAAGCATTAAACATGTGGAGGTTAAAACAATCATCAGAGGTGGAGTGATGATCAGACAGAGACATGAGATGATGTAGGAAGAGCGTGCAGATGCAGTGAGCAGGTGCTGCCACCTGGGGACGCTGTAGTGCTGTCTGTAGCTATCAGTGACCTCTTACACTCAAACTCTACAGCGTAAACCCCCTTTTCATTTATTCCCGTATCTGAAGGAATTATGAGATGTTACGCTGTTCAATTTTAAAGAACCGTTTACTTAATTCAAATAAATGTTTCGTGATTACACATCACTATATTATTATAGACACTATATTATTATACCAGCTTCATACATGAATGCAACTCTAGAAGGATAAATATTGTTTTGTTTTTTTACAAGAATAGATTTACTGAATTTTTAAATTACGTCACCTATTAAAAAGAAATATCTATAAAACTACAAAATGAATGAAAGTATTATTTTGTTGCATGCATCAAGCTGTACAACCTACATAGGTTTAGCAAAAAGTAAATAAATAAAACAATAAATCTTCATTTAAATAAAACTGTGTCCCAAATGCTAGCATTGATAAAAATGTAATATTTTATTAACGTTCATCAAGTGGAAATGAAAGAATGTGGGAAAATAATAATAATAAGATTATTGGACACAGATGTTAAACACATCAGAACTCCAGCTGTGTTCCAGGTAACATGCCTGACTCCTCGCAGTGCATTATGGGTATTACACACACACACACATGATCTCTAAAACGGAGCCTGTGTGTGTGTGTTGAAGTATTTGGGGGAAAAACCTGAAATGAGCAGCAGGACGGAGTGAGGAGGAGGCGTGAGAGAGCGCAGGAGAAGCCGAGGGCGTGTCAGAGTGCAGGCCAGTCGTCCTCCTGCGGCTCGGACCTGTACGGCTCGCTGATGAAGGACATGCAGGTGTCCGGGATGTACAGAGCTCCACACTTCTCCGAAAACATGTTCACAAAGACGCCGTCAGTCTCGAGAGAGCCGTCGTCCTCTTCAGCACAGAGCTTACCTGGAAAAGCAGACATGATGCACGTTATAGCTTTCTTTCTTTCTTTCTTTCTTCTTTCATTTTTCTGTGTTTCTTATTCTCTCTTCTATCTTTGCTTTTCTTTCTCTTTCTCTTTGTGCTTATTCTATCTTTACTTATTTCAAGTTATTTCTTTATTTCTGTTCTTCTTCCTTCTTTCTTTTTCTTTCTTTCTATTTTACCATCCTTTCTTTTTTCTTTCTTCCTTTCTTTCTTTCTTTCTTTCTTTCTTTAGTATCCTTTCTTCCATCTTTCTTTTTTCTTTCTTCCTTTCTTTCTTCCTTTCTTTTTCTTTCTTTCTTTCTTTCTTTCTTTCTTTCTTTCTTTCTTCAGTGTCATTTGTGCCTTTTGTTTAGTTTTTCCCTGAGTTCCTAGTTCTCTCTTCTACCTTTACTCTCATTTTCTTTCTTTCTTTTTTTAAATCCTTTCTTCAATTATTTTCTGCTTGTTCCTACATGCCTTCTTCTTTCTTTCTTTCTTTCTTTCTTTCTTTCTTTCTTTCTTTCTTTCTATTCTTTCTTCTTTCTTTTTATTTCCTGCTTGTTTCTTATACTTTCTTCTATCTTTGCTTCTTTTGTTTTCTTTCATTTCTATTTTTCATCTGTTTTCTTTCTTTCTTTCTTTCTTTCTTTAGTATTGTTTCTTTCTCGCTTTCTTTTATTTTTCTGCTTGTTCCTTGTTCTCTCTCTCATATTTTTTTCTTTCTTTCTTTCTTCATCCTATTAGCAGCTTCAGTAAGAGCTGAAGAGTTGCATTTACTAACCTGAGCATAAACTGAGCATGAAAGCTGAACATTTGCGTGTGACCAAGTGACCGAGGTATGAAAATAATAAGCGTTTTTCACTTGAGTAATAGTTTCCTGGAATGTTGTGGTCCTGAAAGCTACAGTGACATCGAGGCGATTCCTCATGTAGCACACGTCACTGGGACTGATAGAGCAACGGAACTGGCCTGTAGATGGTTAATGTGACTAAAACACGAGGACGTGGGTTAGAGGAAGTCGATATTCAGGTTACTTCCTCTGCTGCGGTGCAAATCGGCGTTCTGATATTTTTCTCATGGTTAGAATTTTATTATTGTTACATTAAATTACACTAAACAGTCTATTTACTAAAACCTATTCTATTTTTTGCTGATTTAATTATCGGGTAATCTGTGTCCTAGATCATTGATGCATGTGTGTGTGTATGTGTGTGAGGGGATTTTAGATGAGTGTGTAAACTGCTGATCTACGTAACGTACAGCACCCATGTCACATTCACACTCATTTTGAAACCTACATGGGTTTCACACCACACACACACAAACACACACACACACACACACACGTGATTTAATATTTCCACTATATCTCCTTATTGCACAAGTCCTAGGCAAAGAT